TACAAAGGTGCTGTGTAGAGGGATGTTGTTCATGCATACTTCTGGACCAACATGCACAACTTTGAATTTAGGACAATCTTTAACAATATTCCAACATTCCCACCGGGTGAATGATTTGTTTCTTGATTTGATTTTGGCACCATACCATGCTTGTGCTTGAAGTTGCTACAAATAATAATATTGAGACTATTAGGTAACAAATAAATAATAATAATAATGAAATTAGGTAACAAATAAATAATAATAATGAAATTAGGTCAATAACAATAAAAATACAAATAAATAATAATAATGAAATTATTAGGTAACAAATAAATAATAATAATGACATTATTAGGTAACAAATAAATAATAATAATGACATTATTAGGTAACAAATAAATAATACAAACAAATAATAATAATGAAATTATTAGGTAACAAATAAATAATACAAACAAATAATAATAATGAAATTAGGTCACAAATAAATAATACAAATAAATAATAATAATAAAATTATTAGGTAACAAATAAATAATACAAACAAATAATAATAATGAAATTAGGTCACAAATAATAATAATAATGAAATTAGGTAACAAATAAATAATACAAACAAATAATCTTACCTCATCCGCATAATTTGTCCCACTTCGAACATTACTACTAGCTTGTGTCAAGGCATCTCTCCACGTACTAAAGGAATGGCAAAGTATTTTCCAACGACTGGACATCGATTCTTTGGTTCTTTTCCCACTCATTTGCTCAAGAAATTTGGTATGAATTAAACTCCACATTTCTCGCAACTGCATCTCATTACCCATAAGGGAATTATGAGTAACTTCAACCCAGCTAGTGCACAACGCAACATCTTCAAGAAGCGATCAATTCGTACCTGCATCAGTAGTCATTTTGTGGAAAAAAAATTGGACGGAAACTTTAAGAGAAAGATAAGAATTTGATTGAAAGTGGTTGAGAAAATATGAAATTGTGGTGTAAGGTAGATGGAGAAGAAGTGGTATTTATAGAAAAGTAAAAACAATTTTTTACAATTTTTTTTTCAGATTTTTTAAAATTTTTTCGGATTGTTTCCATTTTTTTTTAATTTTTTTTTCCAATAATTAATTTCTGCCATTGGATTTAAAAAAATTTGAATTCCAACACTCCAGATTGTGCCACGTGTCACAACGGTAACTTTTCTTAATTTTAAAACTATTTTTTCTTTATTTATAAAGCATATTAATATCGACCGTTGATCTCAGATCGAACGGTTGATATTAAATTAGATTTTTTTTATTTTTTTTACCGTTGAGATCCAACGGTCCAAATGAAGGAGCCGTTGAGATCGAACGGACCGTGGGAAGCCACGTGGCTTCCCAACGGTAACTGACAGCTGCTGCAAGTGGCCTGATTTTTCTGAAAAGGTGTCGAGCGACGCGCCCCCACGCGCGAGTGGGGTGCACGCGCCTGACAGAAAAAAAATAAAAAAAGGGTTGGAGCTCGGGCTGCTGGGCTGTCACAAATTGGCAGGCCCCCTGCTCGGGCCTTCTTCAAGAGCTCGGGCTCTTCATGGCTGGAGGTGATTCACAGGGCCTCGGGCCCTTTCTTCTCCCCTGTCCCCTGGGCTACCAGCAAGGCTGGACTTGCTCTAAGGGTGAAGAACTTTTGGTGCTCCTAATTATGGAGGGAAAAAACATAAAAGAAAGCTTATGTGCAAAATTGTCCATATAGTTCAAACAATCCTAAAAATCCACAAAGTGCAATAGAGTTCGGAAAGAGTGAAACCTTTCGAAACAGATTGGGAGCTTTTGAAGTCCTGAACAATCAAGGGGTGGAATAAATAAGGTTTATCCCTGAAGTTATTAAATTCTTTCTTTTTTGAACTTTGGTAATCATCAGCGATTTCTAACAATTCAGAAAAGTTCAGAACACAATACATACATAAACCAAAATTTTACATTGTAAACTAATCTTCATGTCCAAATTTTGTACCTATCATGTAATGTGTCAAGCAACAATTAAATTTTATTGTAATAATCAAGCTAGATTTAAGTAAATTATTTGACATGTTACTGGGTAAGTATAATTGGTACTCTTTTTTTTATTTTAGGATAAGTATAATTGATACTCTGAGATAACAATTATAATTAAATATAAACATATTTAATTAGATCACTAATCCATTCTTGATCATTTGAGCAACTATAATTAATGGTGGTGCTCGTCTTGGTCTACCATGGTGATGGTGGTCTTGTCTGCGTCTATCTGCAGCTGAAGTGAACAGGGTCCTCTGATGAAACAGATAACGAAATGAGCAAAAAATAAAAATAAAAATTCTGAAAATAAAAAAAACATTTTTTGAGTGGCATTTTTACCTGATGGAAGCATTCTGAAGTAAGGACTGTGACGACAGCGGAGGCGGCGACGGTGATTAGATTTCTTGGAAATTAAAATTGGGACGGCGGTATTTCTCACATTCACAGACATTAATGAAAATGGGGAGTGGGGTTTCTAGAGAGAGAGGGGCAGAGCAGAGCAGGAGTGGGGTTTCTTGAAAATTAAAATTGGAACGGGGAGGATTATCTACCCTCCTAATCTCTTTACTCTCTCACGTCCTCTTATTTGAATGGTCGTGTTTAAGTCACGTCAACATCTTATATTGATTTTTTTTATAAAAATAATAAGATAAAAAGTAATGTGTAAGAGAAAGGGATGAGAATAGAAAGATAGAGAATCCTCCTCTCTGGGACGGTAGAGAATCCTCCTCCCTAGGACGGGGCAGGTATCGGCAGTTTATTTTTTTGTTTGGTCAAGTATTGGCTGTGGGGCCAATGTAACCGTTTTCAGTGACCCAATACCTTATCAGAAATGATGTAGGAGCGAGTACAGCAAAAAAGATTTTGTTGCGTGAACAAAATATGAGATGATACATCACGTATTATTATATAAATATTAGAATATATGTGTTAAAAAGTTAATAATTTAAATATTAAATTTTTTTATCATTTATATAAAAACATATAATGTGTCAATCATATTCCGATCACAATAAAAAATTTCTCATCCGCAAGTACTGTCTCTTCAACTTCTTTGGCGTCTCATAATATTATTATTAAAAAAGACAGAACTTACAATTAAAAATATTTTCTCTCTTCCCGACCCTCCCTTCTTCCTGATCCTGTGAGTGAGTGCATCAACATTAAGGAACACGTGGGTCTCCAAAAAGGTGGAATTATGGAATTAGTGTGGTCTACCATCCATTGGATTAGTACCCCGAATACCTTGGGAAGCAAGGAAAAGGAAGCTTGTGATATTCTGAGCGGCTTTAAACGTTCAAGAGCCCGGAAAAAAAAAATTCAAATTATATTATTTCAAAATTTTATTTGATGGCTGATGTATTCAATTGACTACAAATATTAATTTTTTTTAATGGACGTGTCAAAATATTTATGTATTATTATATTGGGCTTTATAGTTACATTAATTTTATTTGGGATTACCAGGTAGATTTGCAGTTAAAGGAACCTACTTTTCAACTATACATTTTTTGTTATTGTTCACTGAGTTTTCTGCTGTGGTTGTGAATTTGTTGGTTTTTACTTTTTTATTTATTTATTTTATTTTTGTTGGAAAAGAATGGCGGAGAAACAAAACGTGCGAGAGCGAGGAAGGAGGACTCGTTGCTTTTGATGAGACGGTTCAATTCCATGGCTCACACTTTGTCTCAGCTCTCCAACACTTTTGATAATGCTCTACAGGTAAAGTTCGATCCCGACTGCAGCTAAAGATTTGAGCTTTTTACAAATTTGGTCACTTTAAAAAATATGTATCTCAGATCTGAATTGAGAGAGTTTAAATTGGTGATTTTTCTAGGGTACGAACATGTATTAAGTGTGAACGCTTACAGATGACCCACGTGGTGTATGAGACCGATCAGACGGTGTAGTACACCGCTCAATGTGCCACGATGATGGTATTTTTGGGTGTTCGTATTATAGAAGAACACTAAATTGTAATGTTTGAAATTTGAAATTTGCTAAGCCACCCACATTGAGATATTCCATAGCCACCCGAGCAACTCGGAGACGAATAGTAAAGGGAAGGAATCGGAAGAACAACTGAATGCAGAAGATTCCCATGTGAGGAAATTCGAAAACATTCATTGCTCAGAGGTTCAAGGAGAAGAATCCCAGAAAGAAAGCTGAAGAAAGCAAAAATGTAGTTTCTCTTTTTTGTTCAGTGTCAAATCTTTGATGGGTTTTGAGTTGATTCCTAACTGTGTTATCTCTCTACAGCTTGCAATTTCAATGGCAACAAAAGCAGCTTCGTTTGCCCGGGAACTCAAGTGGATAAGATCGGATTTATGCTTTATGCAAGAGCAGTGTGCTCTGCTGGAGGAGGAGAATCGAAGGCTCCGAGACTAGCTGAATAAAGGGTTGAGGCCAGAGGAAGATGATCTGGTGAGGCTTCAGTTGGAGGCACAGCTAGCTCACCTCCCTCAAGACCTCTCTGCTTCATTTGAAAAATTTGTACAAGGGTTGTGCCTAGACTTTTCGTCTCCTCCACAACCGACAGCAGACGAGACAAATGGCGAAGATGGTGGTGGTGATGCTGCTGCTGAAAACAAAGTTTCTCAGACACTAAGAAGTGATCTTTTCGGCTTCTCTGTCTTGCTTGATGATGGAGATCATTAGCAGAATGGTTTTTGCAGATTGTTCTGTTTGGGTTCAAAATTAAGTATCGCAGATGTAAATTTTGATGCCATTGACTTCTATATGTGATTTCACTGATTTACCATAAACACAAGTACATGATCTCAATGGAAATTATATTATTTCTTTACTTTGTTTTTCCGAACTTAATTTCCCTACTCAAATTATATGTTAAGGTGATTTCAATGAACAGTATCTTGTCATCCAACCTTTTTCCGTTATAAGTTTCAAAAAAATAGTTCCCGATACCAGTTCTCAGCAAGGAGACATACCAGGTCAGAGAATATAGATGAACTAAACTCTTCATTAAAGACCACGAAAGATACGATTCAACATTCAAGCAAGCAAACATACATCATACAGATACAGGTAACCAAGTACTAAATATTAACAAGTAACCTAAATTAAGCTTCAATGTTTAAAGCTGCTGCCTATTGGTTTCCAAACTAACAGGTTTCATATTTTACAAAATACATGCTAAGCCAATCCAGCAACTGGTTAAACCATTAAGACTGCCTATTTCTCTTGTTCTTAGATGCTGACTTGCAATCTTGAGCAGAATCGTCAGAAGAAACTGCTAGGTGGATATATGATATAGTTGCAATCAGACAAAACATTCAGGTGCATTCAGAACCCAACTTCATTCGTCATGATCTAAGGGAAGAAGCTAAGATACTGGCAGGATGGTGGTTGATTTCTCTGCAGTACCCGTCCTACAATTACAAAGTGAATTAAATAAAAGTAAAAAAAATTACTTAAAAAAGAAAAAGTAACAGTTTTATTCTTTTTTTTTGTAATAATAATTAACAATTTTAAATTATGATTTTTACCTATAACAACTCCACCACAAAAAGGATCTAAAAGGCAGGCTTGGTTGAGTAGCGACATTGTATTGCGGAAGGCATGTGCTAATTCCCCATAATTATAGTCTGTCAGATACCGCAGATTTATACTACATATTAACCAACAAAATAATTAGTATGTTGTATTTGCAAAAATAGTAATATCTTTCATCTATAAATATACAAAAGCAATATCACAAAATAGAGATCATAGTTCACTAGCAGAGGAAAATTCTTGAAACTTACTGTTCTTCTCCTGACCCAACAGCCATAGCACTATCACTCGTAAGTGATGTACGTGAGATCACTCGAAACATTTGCGGATGTGGACTTGTAAAGTCCCATCCCAAAACAAGGCTGGAAACTGTGACGTAGGGACTAACAAAATGATAGGCTAGATTAGCCGCTAACTTCACCGTGCGCGACTCCTCAGGTATTGTTAGAAACTATCACCATTCAATTGAAATCAATGTGTGTGTATATATATATATATATATATTATTTCTAAGGAAAATAAATAAAAATTTGGAGTTTTCAATTACCACTGATGTCATCCATTTCCACATTTCCTCCCAATCCATCCTATATCCAGCCATTGTAATATAAATGTTCCAACTTAATCGATAGAACTTGTTGCAAGTACGATCAGTCACATGTCCAGTCAAGGCATCGGTCAGCTTTGAATCAACTCCAACACAAATAAAATTTTCCCAACGGTAAGCAATATTAATGGTTCCATGATCATGAGACGAAAAACCTGCACCACAAAGTAGGAAAAAGAGATTTATGGGTGACGTTTTGTGCTACTAAATTACTAATTATGGAGGAAAAAAAACATAAAAGAAAGCTTATGTGCAAAACTGTCGATAGAGTACAAACAATCATAAAAATCTACAAAGTGCAATAGAGTTCGGAAAAGAGTGAAACCTTTTGCACCAGATTGGGAGCTATTGAACACCTGAGCAATCAAGTGTTCATACTCTAATGCTCCTATAACATGCCTGATCTTTGGTGGTAGAAGCTGGTGTCTGCAGCATGGAGAAAACTTATTCAACGAGCTTTTGCAAAAATAGTAAGCAGGGAACCATAAATTTTGAATGAGTTCCAAAAACAGGAGTCACCGTAGTAGCTGTTTAACCAGGCCAATTGCAGATATGGCTACGGAAATGTCAAAGTCGCCAGCAAGACCAATCTTTTGACTTGAAAATCTTCTAGTGAATCGACCAAGATTTGGAGCAATATCATCAACCTCATAAAGATTTTTCAATGCGTGGACAGAAGCTTTTCTTACACCAGCACTCTTAGAAGCAGAAAATGAGGGAAATAAATGAGGTTTGTCCAGAACGAGTATAAAGGAAAACAGCGTAAGCCGTATCAAGAATCTCGAACTTACATTGTCATTCAATGTCAATCCAAGATACATGAAGTATACACCCTGCAAGACCAGTGATGGATAGGAAAGAATCCACGGGCCTAGTAACTCTATGCATGAAATCCAAATATCTGGATAGATATCACGATAGTAATAGTAATGCAACCTACAATGATGCATTAGACTGTGATAGAGAACTAAAAGATTATGATAAAACAGGAACTTTATAAAATCATGTCAGTAATTTTCTTTGCTTCTGAACTATAAAGCCAAGTCGAAATATCCTACGCTTTCGATATCTTACATCATTTGCTCTAGTATGGTTATCTTGTAGTGAGTCATCGGGAACCTCTTGTTCAGTGATTCCACGCGAGGTCCCTTAATTTGTTTCTTCTTTTCAGCGTCTAATTGTCTACGAGTAGGTTCTAGCCTGCAGCAAATGTGTTAGCAACAGATATAAATTCTTGTAGTACTGCTTTTAACATAAAACAGAGCAATTCAAAGAGAGCTCTTAGGTAACAGATAAACCAATGCAAGCAAAACATGAATTAGGTGGATGAATTCTTTTTAGGGAGTTTTAACAAAACACTCTCGGTACTGTTCACGTTTAACGAAAAACCACATTTTTACGTTTAACTGGCACTATTCATTATACCTTTAAAAATAGTTTTTCGTTAAAAGATAAGTTTTTTTGGACTTTTCGTTAGTTTTCCTTTCTTTTTAAGATTTTATTTGAAACATAATTTCAAATTCATCATAAATTGTGTGCTAAAAATATTTGTACCCAATTAATTATTAGCTGGTAACGAAAGTAGAGGTTTCACCACATAACATGTACAAAACTATTGCGCTAGAGTCAAGAATAAAAAAAGGTCGTACCCAGTGCACAAGGCTCCCGCTTTACGCAGGGTCTGGGAGAGGTGAATGTCGGCTAGCCTTACCCCCATTTATGGAGAGGCTGCTCCCAAGTCTCGAACCCGAGACCTACCGCTCATGGGCGAAGGCACTTGTCATCGCACCAAGTGCGACCTCTAGAGTCAAGAATAAAAATACAAAAAAAAAAAAAAACTGAAGTAATTAAAATCAAAACCTCAAATTGTGAAAACTCACTTTTTGCTCTGCTCTCTCACCCCCACGCCTACTCTCAGTTGTTCAGCGGTCCTCAACTCCGACGACCGGCCACCTGCTGGTTTCCAAAAACATACATTATAAATTAAAATTCCTGTCCAAGTAGCAACTCGTTTTTATTTTTGTTGTACAAATACCAGAGAAGGTGGTTCGATCACCGTTCTTGTCTCCATCAACCGTGCCGGTCTGCTGCGGCTGTAGTCGCCACACCTTGGATCCCCTTGTTTTCTCCTCACTCAAACCTTCTGTCCCAACAATCAATGAATGAGTTAAACACACAAATGAAACAGATAATGAAATAAACAAAAATAATCCAAAAATACAAAAAAAATAATTGAGGGGCATGATTCACCTGATAGGGCCATCCTACCGGCGGCGGCGCAAAGACTGTAGCGGTGGTGGTGATTAGATTTTTTAGACCCAGAGGACGTTAAAATGGGGTTTGGGTTTTTGAGAGATAGAGAGGCTGTGAGACAGCAGCAAGAGTAAAAAGCTGAAGAAATAATATGGCGTTGGTGACTACATGAAGTTAGCTGAAGAAATAATATGGGGTTTGGGTTTTAGAATGAGTGTTAGTGAAAGCAACAGCAACACAAAACGCCGACGATGGTGGCGACGTGGAAAAGGATTACCTCCGGATCCATTATGTGGAGATTGTACGGATTTCCACATTTCAACCGTTCATCGTGTATCGTTGGGTCAGCAATTATTTGATTTTATTATTTTAAATTAAACATAAATAGTATATGATAAAAACTGACCGCACGATCCACAATGAACAGTTGAGATGTGATGATTCTTATGATCCCCACATAATGGATGTGGAAGGGATCCTTTCCCGATTTGCAAAGTTTAGTCGACCAGCATGCGGAAGGGATCCTTTCCCGATTTGCAAAGTTTAGTCGACCAGTATGCGGAAGGGATCCTTTCCCGAGCCTAAGCCGTTTCTTCTTTCGTTTGTCGGTATATAAAAGGATTATTGGCAGTTTTTCTTTTATTTTTATATAATGTTTGTGAATTCTATTTTTATCTCCTTTTATGAACATATTTACCATCAATATCCAACTTAACATTTTTTATTTTAAACGACAATATAACGAAGAAAAGGTTTTATTGTTGTTGTTGTTGTTGTTGACAGTATAAACGGAGAAAAAATTATTTGTAAGCAGGGACGAAGTCAGAAATTTGTATGGATGGAAGAATTCTTAAACAACAAAGTCACAAATTAAAATCCTAAAAAATGTACTAAACAAAATACCTTTATATAATTCATAAGATTTTGTTGTACAACATATTAAAATATCATTTGATGCGTTTTCATTTTGAAAGCGTGCATGACAACTTCATTACCAATACAATTAATTATCTTTCTCTATAAAAATAAATATGTTATTATTCATCCATTGATCTCCTATCTGATTTCTCAATCAATTCTTCAGAAATTTCTTGGCCAAGAATGCTCTTTTAAGTTGGCAATAGCAATTGGAAGAGTTAATGTTAATGTCACAAACAAGTAAACTAGTAAAACACCTTGCTAATTGCCCTTGTCGTTCCTCTTATCAAACAGGTGGACATGCACAAGGGCAATTATTGTTTAGAGTGAATAGTAAAGACAATTTCATTGTCTTTACCCAGCCACAACTAACAGGTGGGGTGAATATGCTATTAATGGCCTTGTTTGCGTTTCTTGTTTGTCAAGTCAACAAACGTGTATATAAGTGTATTGCCAAAAAAAAGAGGTATTTGTCGGTTTGCCCCCTCCCCCAAACTTGTATAGAGCTGCCAAATTCCCCCGTGAACTTTAATTTTAGCCGATTACCCTCTGAACTTTTATAATTAGCCAATTTCCCCCATAAACTTTAACTTTAGCCAATTACCCCCTAAAATTTTATAAATAGTCAATTCCCCCTAAACTTTAATTTTAGCTTATTACCCCCCCTGAACTTTATAATTAGCCAATTTCCCCCCTAAATTTAACTTTAGTGAATTACCTCCTTAAAATTTTATAAATAGCCAATTTCCATGGCCCCCACTCCACCAGCATTTAGATTTTAAAAATTTTCATCCAATTTTCTATTCTTTTTGCCCTTATATGGTTGTCATGTGTTGTCAACGTGATCAAATGAATGAAAATTTTTAAAATCTAGCGTCCAGAGGGAGATTGGCTATTTATAAAAGTTTAAGGGGTAATTGGCTAAAATTAAAGTTCAAGAGGAAATTGGCTAATTATAAAAGTTCAATGGGGTAATCGGCTAAAATTAATGTTCAGAAGAAAAATTGACAGTTGTATGCAAGTTCAGGGAACAAATCGACAAATATGCCAAAAAAATTACATCAATAAGATTGTCGAGTTATATCTACTCTGCATTAACTCTTGAAGACATTTGTTGTCTCGCCAAAAACATTTCAAGGGTATGTTGATGGACAAAATAACTAAACGTGTACAAAAAAGAAAAAAATGTGTAAAAATTATTTCTTTAAATTAATTTAGAAACTTTTTTAATAAGACGAACCCCTTATCAATTATCTTATCTTTTTAGGTCAGTTTACTCAAATTTATTTTTTAGATAATATTGCTTAAATTTTCTCAAGAAAAAGAAGATAATATTGCTTAAAGAATAATGCTAGGTAGATCAACTTTTAGACTAAATTTTCAAATTATATAATGTGTCGTCAAATAAAATAAGCACGTTAATCAACAATCATATAATATATTTTACAAAATTTAATCTAATAGTTCGTCTTCAATACAAGGTGCAAGTCTATTGTCGTGAAATGGCAGAGTAGGTCACCATGGAAATTGAAACTGTAGCCCCTACGCCAACCAAAAGATTAGGAGCTTTTGGCCTCAATCACTGGAATTTCTTCTATCCATATCAGACTAATTCTATACTCAAGCGTTTTGTAGCAATCATGATATAACAGAAGTAAGACTAAGAAATAGGCTAATTACTTGCGCCCCAAGTAACTTCGGACTTCTTGTTATCAAGGACTGTCGTGGATGGGTTAAGTCCACATAAGGTTCTTTTTTATGCCTTGAGACCAAGGATTTTTATTGATCAATCTTGTCTGCCCGAATGGTTCAAGTCTTTTAATCATAAACTGGCTAGAAATAACTTGGATGCAGATGGAAATATACATCATATTACTAGATTTATGAATGAAAAGACAAAAACAAATGAGGTCGGGCAAGGTTGATCGTCTTGCAACTTCCTCTCTTTGTGATTTACAATGGGTTTGAGTGATAGAATGGGAGATTGGAAGATGAGTTTATACGAGGGAATCGATACTACATCAAGATTTAGACAGGGTAGCAGAGCTTTTACAAAGGCTTTTTGGTGAAGGTTGATCCCGAAAGGGATGAAGGCTTGGTGCTGACTACAGCTTCGTATGCAAATCTGGCTTGAGCAGAGTTTGTGTATTTGTTTGTTTGATTGAGTGTCCTTATCTCTGATTTTCCTTTCTCCTTTTATAGACGATTTGGCTTGGCTATCTGTAGCTTCAATCTTGCCCGAATGCCTCTGAAGGGTAGTGACTCATCAGCTTTTTACTTGTACTGCCATTATAAAGTACTTTTTGGGCTGATTAGCTGGCTGGTCTATATCACTTGACCTTTAGGTAGGTGAGCATGTAGCTCAAGTGGTCTGCACTTAGTCGGGAAAATGGCCTCTTCCGCCTTCTGGGCTTCTTGCTTTCCATTCCTTCGTCTGGGCTAACTCCCTTTTGAGCCCAAAATTCAAGTTTTATCCCAAACAGAGCCAATTCCCCATGAGAATTTAGAAATGCTAGAAGGAGCGAATCCGCCAAGACTCTACCTTAAGGGCCTCTATGTCTACGTGTATTCTACTTCTTCAAGATACACAACTAATATTATTAAAATAAAATTTTCAATTAAAAATATTTTCTTTCTCTACTTGACCTCTCTTCTTTTTGAATGAATGCACACCATCTCTCACATTTCTCAGTGCTTGAAATATCTTTGATATGCTCGATATTTTCATAGAAATGTCTAAAACTTTAGAGAATGATATGGAAACATTTCACCTCATATCTCCGATATTTCTGAAAATCAGTTAATTTCCTCGATATTGTATGCATCCTGGCAAAATTTCGGCAAAAAACTTACAGACTAGTGGTCGAGTTTTCTTCTTAGTTTCTTTTCACGTTTCCTTCTTCGTTTCTTCTTCTATTATGTGAATTCAGTTTTCAATCTATCATATATTTGGAGATTGGTGCAATTGGAAAGTAATACGTAGGAATGTCTAATCAAAATAAAAGATGAAGATTGATTATTACTTTTAACTCCATGAACTTATGCATTCTATATGATATTAGTTTAATTCAATAAAACTTGTGCTGCTTTCATGATAAAGGTTTTAGTTAAGTTATGTGTAATTTATTCCTTCTAATGAAATGTTTTATTTTATTACTTGTCATTAGAAACAAGTATTCCTTCTCACATATCACATACTTATTTTTTACACAGTATCTAATGATTAATTCTTGATTGTTGTGGCTTCATATGACATTCCTTAACAATAACCGAGGCTCTTGTCATTTTAAGAGAGAGAGAGAGAGAGAGAGAGAGAGAGAGAGAGAGAGAGAGAGAGAGAGAGAGAGAGAAAGTGTAAAAAGAAATGATTAATGGATAAGTCAATTTAGGAGGAACTAATAGCACTCCTTATATTGCTTGGGAGTGGAATCCTTGTATGGTTGTATTTATGGTGTTTTCAAGCACACAGCAAGCTAATTACTTTAGATCGCTAGTGTGTTTTAAGAGAAGAAGAGATGAATAATAGTATAAAGGAGTATTAGAAGGGGTGTGCTATCCACACACCTCTTTTTACTTCTCTCACACTCCTTGTTAATTTCTGTCATTTGATCTTCTTCAATTCATCCGATCTGATGGCCGAAAATTAAAAAGGTGTGAGAGAAGTGAAAAGGGATGTGTGAATATCACATCCCTATTACAATAGGACATCTAAAAGACATTGAGGGTGTGTTTGTTTACACTCACTAGGCCTCACTGGACTGGACTGAACTAGCTTAGCTAAGAATATTAAGCCATGTTTGGTGCAAGCTGGGACTAAGTTTAATGGGACTAGCTCGGACTCGTTTCGACTAAACTATTCGCTAGCTGGGCTTAACGAGGTCGGGCATAAAGGATGGGATTGCTAAGACCATCGCTTCGCTTCATCACCGTGCTGATGCTTCGACTTCCTTAGTCGTCTTCCTCTTCATCTTCCACAGATCCCCAACTGCTGCAATTAAGCTTTTCTTCTTTCTCGGCCTGCAATCAACCGATTTGGTAGCTCCAGCTCTAGCACAGGCCCTACCCGCAGGCTGCAGCTCCAGATCTCGCGCCACTGACCGTCGCATCCTCCTCGTCGAGGCCGCCAAGCGCTCTGCCAGGAGGATGCGTTCGCAAGTTTGTTGTCGATTTGCAGATCTGACGATCCGAGCCTTTGCAAATTGAAAAAAAAAATGGGATTTTTCTGGGTTTGATATGAAGAGAAAGTAAATTAAAAGAAGAGAAATAGGAGTTATAATTGAAGAGAAAGCAAATTAAAAGAAGAGGAAGTTTCTGGGTTTGATTATTAGTGGAAGCAAATATGGGCTTGCGAAGAAGAAAATGCAAACCAGAGAAGAAAAGTAGAGGAATGGGGAGAGAGAACTAAATAAAAAAAAGTGTGTAAATATTAATAAAATGAAAAAGAAAATGACAAAAAAGTATTTTAGCTCTAAAATAATTTAGTCTGTGATTTAGTCCAACACTACATCAAACGCTTCATTATTCTTATACTACTTAGTCCATGCCAAGCTAATCCAGATTAGTCCATAAAGTTAGTCCAGTCTGAGATAGTCCGGTGCAACAAACGCCCCCTGATAGTTAGTCCCAAACCTCCCACCCTTCTTTCTCTATGTCACATCAAGAGTTTTTAGGGGTTTGCTTCAAGAAAAATTCTTTATATATACGGCTGAATTAAATTAAGTTTATAAACCCCTTTCTGAGAAGACTTGCCATTGCAAAATTTAGAGTATAGAGCTCATAAAATAAGTGCTCAACTCTACAATCTAATTGTATTTTACGAGTCTCTACATTTAGCTTTTTTCGAATCTCTACGTTTTTCTTTTTCAAATTTTTTCAGCATTTTGTTTAGTCTAGTCCGATATTTTTGCAAATTTGCATATCTTATATATATCTATCGATATTTCTGCCAATTTGCATATCTATATTTCTACAAACACCGATATTTTAAACACTGCACATATTTTAAACACTGCCAATTTGAAATATCCTACATTTTCCTTAGCAGGTTCTTCTCCCATAAGACATACTTAGTTGCTTGCTGTCTATTATTCTTGCTTGTGGGTGAAGAAGGATCTTTCAAATGATGAATGATAGGCGATCTCCAGTCTTCCGTCTCGGTTTCTAGAACCATTACATCTATACTGAATCCCCTTTCTAGGATAGAAGGAAGATTTCTCCTTTGAATCTCGACATCTACTCCATACCTCCTTTCCTGGATTGGTACTCCCGAGGCTATTTGCGCCATCTTGTTGGCCGCCAGATTAGATTCCCTGGGAACATGATTAACTGATACTTCAGAATCCCAATAGCTCAACAATTGCGTGGCCGCCAAGTAATACCCAACCATGGTGATATGTCTGCACTTGTATTCTCCATTCGGAACCTCTTGTTCAGTGATTCCACGCGAGGTCCCTTAGTTTGTTTCTTCTTTTCAGCATCTAATTGTCTACGAATAGGTTCTAGCCTGCAGCAAATGTGTTAGCAACAGATATAAATTCTTGTAGTGCTGCTTTTAACATAAAACAGAGCAATTCAAAGAGAGCTCTTAGTTAACAGATAAACCAATGCAAGCAAAACATGAATTATGTGACAGAATTATTTGTGATGTCCAAAAATTCATCACTTTTTGGTAAAAGAAGTGACCCATTTCAAAAAAAGGGTCACATAAAGCGTTTCATGGTGGATGAAGTCTTTTTAAGATTTTATTTGACACATAATGTCAAATCCATCAGAAATTGTATGCTAGAAATTTTTGTGCCCAATTAATTATTAGCTGGTAACGAAAGTAGAGGATTCGCCACATAACATGTACAAAACTATTGCGCTAGAGTCAAGAATAAAAATACAAAAAAAAAAAAAAAACTGAAGTAATTAAAATCAAAACCTCAAATTGTGAAAACTCACTTTTTGCTCTGCTCTCTCACCCCCACGCCTACTCTCAGTTGTTCAGCGGTTCTCGACTCCGAGTCCCCGACGACCAGCCACCTGGTGGTTACCAAAAACACATTATAAATTAAAATTCCTGTCCACTTTGGTAACTCATTTTTATTTTTGTCGTACAAATACCAGAGAAGGTGGTCCGATCACAGTTCTCGTCTCCATCAACAGTGCCGGTCTGCTGCGGCTGTAGTGGCCACACCTTGGATCCCCTTGTTTTCTCCTCACTCAAACCTTCTGTCCCAACAATCAATGAATGAGTTAAACACACAAATGAAACAGATAATGAAATAAACAAAAATAATCCAAAAATACAAAAAAAAATTTGAGGGGCATGATTCAATATAGTAACATCAAACTCACTTTTTTGGCCTACTCAGGAAAGCTTTATTGTATAACCGCTTGAATATTTGAGTATCAAAATAGTAAAAAAAAAAAAAAAAATTGTCAAGAAATAAGAAAAAAATATGCTGGTATGGAAACGCGCCAACGTTCGAGGAGCTTGTAGCATAAGGGCCAAAGCCAGTATGCTTAATTTTGTTAGGAAAACTAATGAAAATGGCTTGAAAACTTTGAGTTTTAATTTGTTCTTAATTTCCTCTCTGCAGTTAAAAGTAATATTTCATTTCCGGTTCCAAATTCATATAAGCTTGGACTTGTAATCTCTGGCCGAACTACATGTTTAACTTAACTTTTTGTTATGAAGTCGCAGCATTTAATTTTTTAATAAAGAGAATCCTCAAAAAAGTAATTGGAGTATACTGTATCTTTTTAAAAAAATGCAATTTTTTCCTAAAAAAAGCACTTAAGTGTTTCAAGAAGGAAGCGATGTGTGCTCCTTTTAAAAGCACTTCAAGGAGAAATTTTTCAACTTGCTGGAAACATAGTCCGGTATACCAAGTTTTATAATACAAATGTTGAAATTTTTTAGAAAGCACTTCAAGGAAACGATGTGTGCTTCTTTTAGAAAGCACTTAAGTGTTATAATGCAAATGTGTGCTTTTGTATGTATAATAACATAAATAAAAACATAACGTACAACCATGGATATGTGTATAATTGAGAAAAATCCCGTTTTAAAAAAAATTGACAAAAATTAAATGAAACTCGTATACAATTGTTTTAGTTCTCAACAAGGGGACAACTCACACTTGGATATTTTACTTGTCAGCTTGTACAACTTTATATTTACTGTAACAGTTCTGTAACTAATCTTAGTCTCAGTAATTAAGTTAATTAGGTGTAATTAATTACTAAATTTTATTGGCAAATGTGTATATACTGGGTTCTAATTCCTTACTCGTTAAGAAAGAAATATACAAAACTTCTTTCTACAAAAAGTTATAAAAAATTATACATACAAGTCAAACTGTGCAATTGCCAATTGGACCAGACAGCCAAGCCAAGCCAATGACTTGGAACGAGAAATTTTTAATTGTAATAGGAACACGGATAGTACATCACGTGATTTTATGCAAGTGGTGAAAATTTTTAATTTTTAAGTTATTAACCTTTTAAAATACATAACCCACAATTTATATAGAAACACGTGATATACTACTTCGTGTGACGGTTACATTAAAAATCTCTTGCATGGAACAGCCAACTGCACTTCCACCACTTCCTCCTTTTCTTTTTCTTTTTCTTTTTTCATTTTTAATGTGTAAACTTTAAATAACATGTCGTTCTTGGGGCTATGAATTGTGCACGTCGGCCATTGAGGAGCCACCGTCAGCCACCGCTACGGAACCACCGTCGAGTACGTTTCATTAATTTCTCCTCTCTCAATTCAATGAAATTGTGCGTACAAAATTTGACCTGATTTGGTGCGCTCGTTGTTGAGTAGGACTAAGGCTCACACTCAGACTCAGAGCACTGAGAACCATGGGAAACGAGGTCGACCTGCCGCTGGACCTTCCGCCGCCCCGCCGCCGAAACTCGCGGTCTCTCACCTTGATTGGTACTTCTTCCCCAGCTAATTACGAATATAACCATTGGAAACGCCATTAGAAATTCTCCACTAGTTAATAAATAGTTGAGTTGGTAGTTTTGTATTTTCCACTGTTTTGTCATAATCTTATTTACTTGTGTGCTGGATGGCATCAGTCCTGGTTTAAATTTGTTAACTGGTTTTCATGTTCTAGCTTCGGGGGTAAAATTTCTTAATTTTACTAGATTAGGATACCTCCTTGGTTGTGACGGACTTAAATGATTTTTCTGTCCTTCATTCGTACCGTATGCACAAGGAAGTTGTATCTTGCGTAAATGCTATCAACCTTTGTTCCACGGAGAGTCAAGCTGAACTAAAAGATTTTGGTCGTAGTACATTAAGGGAACTTCAGAACAACCTAGACTTTTCGTCTCCTCCACGACCGACAGCAGGCGAGGCAAATGGCGAAGATGGTGATGGTGATGCTGCTGCTGAAAACAAAGTTTCTCAGGCACTAATAAGTACTTTTCGGCTTCTCTGCCTCGCTTAATGATGGAGATCATTAGCAGAATGGTTTTGCGGATTGTTCTGTTCGGGTTCGAAATTAAGTATCGCAGATGTAAATTTGATGCCATTGAATTCTATCTGTGATTTCACTAATAAGTCACAACTTTTATTTAAAAAGAAAAAATTTACACTTTATTATATTTTTTTGGTAATAATAATTAACAAATTTTAAATTATGATTTTTACCTTTAACATCTCCACCACAAAAAGGATCTAAAACGCAGGCTTGGTTGAGTAGTAACATTGTATGTTGGAAGGCATCTGCTAATTCCCCATGATAATGATCGGTTAGATGCTGTAGGTTTACACTACATATTAACCAAAAAATAATTAGTATTTTATATTAAAAAAAATACTAATATTTTCTATATAATTAGTACGTTATATTCTAAATAATAATAATAATAATTTCTATCTATAAATACAAAAGCAATTCCAAGGTCTTAGGTTCGATTCTCGTCAAAGATGAATTTAAACTATGTTATCGCTAGTTCATTATGAAGCTTAGTCCATAGATAATATTGTTTGCTAAAAAAATTCGTTTATTAAAAAAAAAAGTTTGTTAAAAAAAAAAAACCACAAAAACAAAGTTCATAGTTCAAACAAAATTCTTAAAACTTACTATTCTTCTCCTGTACCAAGAGCCATAGCACTGTCTCCCGTCGTAAATGATTCACCTGCGATCACTCAAAACATTTGGGGATGTGGACTTGTAATGTCCCATCCCAAAAAAAGGCTGCACACTGTGCCATACGGACTAACAAATTGATAGGCTAGATTAGCCGCTAGCTCCACCGGTGCGACTCCTCAGGTATTGTTGAAAACTATCATCATCCAATTGAAAATCAATATATATAATTTTGAGTAAAAGAAAAAAAAAATTGAGAGTTTTTAGTTACCTTTGTTGTAATCGATTGGCACATACGTTCCCATGGCATCCTAAATCCAGCCATTGTAATATATATGTTTCGACTTATTTGATAGAACTTGTTATAAGTACGATTAGTTACACATCCGGTCGAGGAATCGGTCAACTTTGAATCAACTCCAACACAAATAAAATTTTCCCAGCGGTAAGCAATATTAATGGTGCCATGTTCATAGCATGAAAAACCTGCACACGGATAAGGAAGGAGAGATTTATGGGTGAAAAACTTTTGTGCTCCTAATTATGGAGAAAAATAACATAAAAGAATACAAACAATCATATCCACAAAGTGAAACAGAGTTCGGAAGGAGTGAAACCTTTTGCATCAGATTGGGAGCTATTGGACTCCTGAGCAATCAATTGTTCATACTCTAATGCTCTTACCACATGCCTGATCTCTGGTGGTAGATGCTGGTGTCTGCAACATAGAGAAACTTAGCCTAATTCAAAGAGCTTTTGAAAAAACAGTAAACAAGAAACTATTAATTTTGACAGAGTTCCAAAAACAGGGCAGTCACCTTAGTAACTGTTTAACCGGACCAGTTGCGGATATAGCTACGGAAATGTCAATGTCGCTAGAAGGAGCAATCATTTGACTTGAAAATCTTCCAGTGAATCGACCGAGACTTGGAACATTAGCATCAATCTCACAAACATTTTTCAATGCATGGACAAAAGCATTTCTTACACCAGCCCTCTTAGAAGCAAAACAGGGCGAAAACAAATGAGGTTTTTCCAACATGAGTACAAAGGAAAACAGCTTAAGCCAACGGATCAAGAATCCCAAACTTACCGTGTCCTTCAATGCCAATCCAATATACTTTAAGTATACATCCTGCAAAAACAGTGATGGATAGGAAATAATCCACACGCCTAGTGACTCAGTGCAAGAAATCCAAATATTTGGATCGATCTCACGATAGCGATAGCAATGCACCAATAACCTATAATGACGGATTACACTGTGAAAAAGAACTAAAGGATT